CAACAACCTCACCTCGAAGGGATATCCGCACGCTCCCAAATTCGGTTTTTCTCTTGAATGACGAAGAAGAAATTAAGTTGAGAGAAGATTTTAAAGTTATGATTGGAAGAATCATTGTATCCAGCATTCCTGGTTTATCATTCTTGAAGAGTGTTGTACCCGATCATATTCCTCACATATACCAAAAGGAGATGTCTGAGCAGTCTGTAATTGTTCCTTTACCGATGCAGTTGAAAGATGAGAAAAAATACAGCGACGTAGTTGATATCCTGGATTACTATGAGAATGAGGTTGAGGATATATACGCTAAAGCAGGAGTTATTAAAAAACCAGCAAAGGTTCCAAATGCACCACAACCAGCATTAATCGAAGGACAGTCTTCCCTACCTGATCAACCGAGCGCGCACTTTAACAAGGTGGATGAAAATGACCACATGAAAGTGATATCCGTGCCATTTGGAGGAGATCAACTAACCCGAGTTAGATTTGCTGGGGCGAAGGATCTGCAGGCTGGATCACATACATCAAAAGAACGACTGGATCACTGCAGCCCGTTTGTGTCGGAGTTATTCCATACAAAAATGTCATACCTACAGGTATAAAAAGAATTTTTAAGTCACAACTATCAAAGAATGCATAATAGAATATTTAAAGTAATAAAAAATTCTTAAAAAAGATCTTGATAAAAGATAAAACAAGAATATTTTGGAGGAAAACATGCTGTTTAACCAATTTTTGAATGTGTCATGCATTATTGAAGGTCATTCAAACAATTCACACGAAAATAAGAAAAATAAGTTACTACTATTATTATAACTATTAATTATCCGAATGAGCGGCCACAGGTTTATGTTCATGCAAACTTATAAATATTTATAAATCTTCATATTTACATATTGTAGTTTGTATACAACTCATTATACAAGCCTGGATCAGTTAGAGAAGTGGGAACTCTGAAATACTTTAGAGAGAAATACAATCGCAAAAATGTAACGCCAGAAAAGGTCACAAATTCTTACGAAGGCTCAGAGCAGTTCCTTTTGAGTGTTGGAAAAGCATATATTCTGGAAGCTGCGACGAAATTTTGGGGATTGCAAAATCTAACAGATTGTCCATCGAAGCACGTGCCACCACCAGGAATTGTTCACATGACGAAAGAGAAGAAACTCGACTATTTCAATAAAGTTATCGGTGCTTTCGTTGATGAATTTGTCACACCTGATCCCGATAAAGAAAATTCCTATGCACATCACGAGAATACAGCTGTTGATATGGATGTATTAGAAGAAAACAATTCGCCAGATAGGATTAGGTATTTAAATTCAATATTAATTATATCATTCTGTATGAAAGTATATATACGAGGCCAGAGTGCTCAAACGACCACAAGGGAAGTTAGCTTTGCATTATCGCTATTAGACACCCATGAACAACTCCACAGAGTGCTCAACAACACCGAAGTGAAGGAGCGTAATAGTACAATCTGCAGACATGTATGTTTCGGCATTCAACACCGTTGAACACACTTTTCAACACCAAACAATAACATGCATGCATGCATGTCTGCATGTTTCGGGTACAGTCAAATACAGTTCAATGGGTACAGTGCTATTTAGAAATTGCGGCCATTAGTGGAGTGGGCAAAATGTTAAAACTTTCAACGAATTGTACCTGTTTTATATTAATTTTGTATGGTGTCGAAATCTGGACTTTATTGCGAGTTTAATTTAATTAATTATACCTTTTTTCTTTGTGCACGACGTCTGAAAATCCTGTGAAATCGTAAAATACTGAATATAAACGAGCCAATGACAAGCGGCGTTTAAAACTGTTTGAATACACCCTTTCGCTCTCATGAATCAAGGATCCAAGACCAAAAAGTATGTGTGACGTAATTATCGAAAGGGTGTATTTAATTGAAATAATCTTTATTGAGAGAGGAAGCCGTCGTCACGGGTCGCCTAATTTGTTTGTTTGGAGAAAATAATTTTACCTCCAAATTTATTTAGAGAAATGGGGCCGGTTGTATAAAAAAGTGATTAAAGTTAACTACAAAATAGTGATTAAAAAAGTGATTAAGAGTTTTATACAGGGAGAGTAAAAAAAACTGACACATTTGTTATTCAAATTAGCCGCGAAGGTATCAGTTTTTTTTACTCACCCTGTACAACTGGCCCCTGAGTCGGCCTGTTCTGCAAGACTGCATGCAACTGAATAAAGTATTAAAACTAGGTACAACATAACCTACACCGCTACAGGGTTACGGGTATACAGGTATATGTTGCAACGACAGAGCAGACGTTTCTTTTTTGGACCCTCTCTGCCTCTGGTTCAAAAAAATTATTTATTGAACATTGAGATAAATTACAAACAGTTTACAATTACATGCATGTATGTGGAAATGTCATGTAATTAAAAACACTTCCGTTTGGTGGCTTATTACTTGGCCTGTATGCGCATGTTCATTAGTCATTCTTTTGCGGATTCTCCAGATGGGGGTGTTAAATTGCTCACATACAGTAGTAGAGGCCCGACACAAATTTATTATTCTGAAATAAGTACCCAGTTACTTACAGAAACAATTATAACAAATAAAGTTCTTATTCTTGACAGATTCTATAGCCTTAATGTGATTGAACTGTCTGTGTTCTTGATGCAATTAATTGATACTTGCAAAGGAGGAGATGGTTTGAGGAACAATATAAACAAGAAGAGGCTTCTTTTGTATTTTAAATCATCAGGATCTTTCAACAACTACGCAATCGAAATGTTTACGAGCATTGCACAGATAGAGGCTATCACATCAGAAGAAATGGCTCACAGACTTACATGGGGAAGATTTGTGAATTGGCATGGTGGTCAAGGGAAAAACATAGCATGTGACATGGCCCAAGAGATTTGCAACAGGGTTAGTAAGGATGTTGTGAGAGGTATGGGGCCAAATAAAACAGTGAAGGCAATGACAAGGGCATCAAAGGCAGCAGCTGGAATACAGCAGATTGTCAAGAGAATAAACAGCGAATCAGATATAAAGAGGGTGTCACAAGTGCACAGCCACAAGAGCTCGATAGAAGATGAACTTTTGATGGTAAAAGATTTGCAGGAGATAAAGCCATTTATGAGGATGCAAGGCAGACATCATGCCCATTTTGACCAGATGCAGGTTTCACCATCCAGTGGAGTTGATATGAAAAGCTTTTTCAAGTGGCTTGAGAAACACAAGAAGCAAATAGCAATGGGAAAAAAATAATTTTAACAACTTTTTATAAACTAAGTGTATACATTAATATTTGCCCCTTAATATATCATCAAGGGTCATGAATTAATTAAAAACTGTATATTATTAATCTGCATTATGCCTTAAAGCACCCATTACTGCTATTTTATAGTCTCTAATGTCAGACAACTTTGGAGAAAACTGTGTGGCACTCAATGGGTTAATCAGACTACAGTATCTGCCCATGTGTCTAGTTAACATAATAAAATATTAATTTCCATTGCACTCAAAACCTAATGCATTCTATTATGCTACTTTAGTGTATCTAATACCAAATTATATAAGGTTGGCTTTTTCACACTTTTCTATTGGATTGATATCTAGTTTTTATTGCATAAGTCAGAGACTAATGGATTAGTTGGTGCATGATCATAGTTATAATTTGTAATTTTTCCATTTATTAACTTTACTAATTATTAGATTAAGAATGGAGATCACCAAAAATATATCAGGCATGAAGGGGTTTTATCCAAAAATATTCTTTTAACCCATTGAGTGACAGAACCCTCCACTTAACAAGTAAAATTGTCTGGTGTTATACAGGTTACGCAGTCGTCAGGGCAAGCACCTTTCACCTCAGAGTTTGTGGGTAATTTGATCCTCGCTATGGACTCATCAGAAAAGAGTCAGTTAATGTTCTGCCGAAAGTTATGGGTTTTCTCCGGGTGCTCCGGTAAGTTGACAGGGTGGGTTAGGATATTCAAGACAGGGAAAGTTGATAGGGTGGGTTAGGATAAACCAGTGAACTATGGGATAAATACAGTTAAGAAAGTAATATCACAATTGTTGTAAATATAAATAATCTATAGGCTAAGTATATGATTAGGTATGCATATACTACTTGATGTAAATGAAGCATATTTGAACATATCCACATGTAAATTAATTGCTAAATAGAAATGCTATTAATTGTAATTGTAGACCGTAGCCCCCACTATATAAATCATGAATGCTTCATTAATTCATTGGACAGAGTAAATAATAAAGTATGGTGCATTTGGACACATTGTAGCTTAATTGGTTAAACACACATATAGAAACATGGGAATAATTTCAAAACAATTTCAAATGAAACTTGTGAAATTGTAAGTATCAAAGTATAAAGGTTTATACAGAATGGCAGAATGGATTGTTATTCCACAATTATTATATTTTTAATTAAAGCAAAACATAAATAAAGAATGGAAAGTGTCTGTATTTAGATAATCAAAAATTGGATATATATAAAGCTGATAGATTACATATATAAACTTTACCTTGAATATACTCTTTAGCATTCTAAATCCATTTGACTTCACAGTTCATAATTTCCATCAAAATAAAAACAACCTTATAATCTGCAGCCCGTTGTTTTAAAATATGACTTATAAAATATTCATATTTTTAATAAAATATTCATATTTTTAATAAAAATCAAAGGCAAAATCATTTGTATTTTTAAAAATATTCGGTTCGTGCATTGCAATGTTCAGTTGTTCATCCCCCCCGTGATGACATGACCTTAATAAGGCCAGGTTACAAAAATGTCCAATATTTTTGGACACACGTGACCAGTGTTTACCAGGGCCTTTGCTTCCCGTACCAGAGCCTCTGAACCGCGTAAAGGCCCTGGGTACGAGGTTGGTGGCGGTTTTGCCTTTTGCCAAATGCGTTCAAGCGGCTTGTGGTCAGTAATCACTTTAAAACTCTTGGCTCCTCTCACATACATATCGAAATGTTCGCACGCCCAGACAATTGCTAGAGCTTCCCTCTCTGTTTGACTGTATCGAGACTCAGTGTCAGTGAGAGCTCTACTTGCGAACGCTACAATTCTTCCGTCTTGTTCCAGCATGGCACCTAAACCAACGGGGCTAGCGTCGACGATTATTTCGATCTCTTTGCTGGGATCAAAGTATGCAATGATGGTATCAGCTGTTAAGGATTGCTTAAGTGGTATAAATGCATTTTCTTGTTCAGTGGACCAGGTCCATGTGGCGTCATTCTGTGTGAGACGTCGAAGTGGTTCACTCAGCATGGCATAGTTAGGAATAAATCGCGCAGAGTAGTTCATCATGCCGAGAAAGCTCTTCACTTCTGATACATTGACTGGTGCTTGTGTTTTCTTCAAAGAATCAACCTTTTTCGGGTCTGGTGATACCCCGCTCGCGTTAAAGACCAAGCCGAAGAATTCAACTTCATCTTTGTTGAACTCACATTTCTCCCTATTCAGGGTTAGGCCTTTTTTCTCGAGTCTTTGGAGAGTAGCCTCTAGTGCGATGTCGTGTTGTTTCTGATTAGTACCAAAGATTATGATATTGTCTGCAATGTTCTTTGCTCCAGGGATATCACGAATAACGTTGTGTATGGCTTCTTGGAATATTTCTGAAGCCGAGCATATTCCAAGATTAAGTCTCTTATAACGATAGAGGCCGATATGAGTACTAAAAGTTGTGATATATCTTGAGTCCTCATGTAATTCGAGTTGATGGTAACCCGTGCGCAAGTCTAGCTTGCTAAAAACTTTAGCCCCGTTAAGATCATTGATAAGTTCATCAATGGTTGGCATTTGATGTCTCTCGCGTTGAATCGCCTTGTTGGGCTCGCGCATATCTACGCACAGTCTTATTGCTCCTGGTTCTTTTTTTGGTGGTGTAACAATGGGTGATACCCATGGTGTAGGGGTGTCCTCGACTTTCTCGATGACGTCTTCTTTTAGGAGTTTCTCAATTTCGTTTGCTACTTTGTCTCTTAGATGAAACGGTGTCCTGCGCTGTTTTTGTGCCACCGGTTTGACAGTTTCGTCAATATGCAGCTTTACCGTAGTGTCTCGTTGTTTCCCTATTCCTTTGAAGAGATTCTCATTCTTAAGGTGGGAGTCTTCGTCAAAGCGCACGCCATAACAGTACTCATCTTTGCTAGATGAGTCAGACACTCTCGAATCATTTGCTGGGGCTCGTTCCTGAACTGTGTTAATAGGTTCTTTTTTCTTAAGTTTCATGCAGACTCTCTTAAAGTGATTTAGTTTCTTGCAATAATTGCAGGTCTTACCTTGAGCTGGGCAGGACCCGCTATGTGGGTATGCGCCCCCACAGTTTTTGCATGTTTTCTTAGAATCTCGATCTTGGGTGGTTTCTTTATGACTTAATGGTGTGTCCCTCTGTGTTGTCTGCTGATTTTTGTTATATCTGACTGCTGATATAGATTCATTCTCCATGGAGGCAGCATGTTTATCTGTAAGTTCCAATGTTCTGCCTATGTCCAAAATTTCAGTTAACGATTTGTCAGGTTCTCGAAGAGCTCTCCTACGAAACCGACTGGAGCTACAATGCTGGATCACTTGGGACAAGATTTCCTTGTCAACATCAGTAAACCCACAATTCTTTGACAACTGTCTTAGTTCTGTAACAAATTCATCCAGGGATTGTCCTTCTTTCTGCTTGCAACTGCGAAAGTTGTAAATTTCTATCTGTATATTTGTCTTTGGTTCAAAATATTTAGTAAGTACTTCTTTAGTATTTGCATAAGTGTTTCCACTTTCGCCTTTCTCCGCTTCATAAATTTCGTAGACACGTTCCCCTGCGTAGTGTAATAACAAAGCTCGCTTTCTAGCGTCATTGTTGATGTTCATGCCGACTAATAAGTTCGAGTCTTCCGATCCACTTTTTCCAACAAGGGCCTGCATTGGCCTTATCTGCCTCGACATCAAAGGGTGGAAACGATGGCAAATTTGCCATGCTTGATTATTTGCTGAATATATTCGCTAAACCGACTTTAATTTGTTTCAATTTTATGCTCAATTCACTCACTGTTACTGGTGGGTTCTCTTAATCCTCGTCGCCAATGTAAAGGTCTCACTTTATTGCTTTAAATTCACATAAATTCCCGATAAACTTAACGTCAACAATCCTGATCTAAAAACGTACTATGAACGTTCGTACACCGTCCTCGTGGGCTCACTTCACCGAGTGTTACTGGACACTACACTTGGTCTGTCTTGTAAATAGGAGTGACACTTAGTTTTAGTACACGTTCATTTCTCAAATGTTCCATTTCAGTGCTACATGAGGATTGACAGCTATTTTATCTTCACATAGGTCAGTGATAAATAAACCTTCAATTGCTGTTACCCTGCTCAAACCAACATAATGTATATGTGGTATTGATCTTCTAGTGTTGAAATTTACAACAATTTTTTGTTCAGTGTCACCTTGTGAACGGTGAATTGTCTTAGCCGCAGCAGGTCAAAGTGGAAACTGTTTTCTAACAACTTGTGCAGTTTGGTTTCTACCCACAGCAAACTGAGTTGTGATTGGCTTTATTGGAGTCCATGTGGACTCAATACCTTGAACATAAAGACGTCTATTTTCATGTCTGGTCTTCTCACCAACATCTGAATGGTCAAATTGGACCCATATTATACCTGAAGGTTTATCTATTTGATTCAATTGTATCTTTCTAACAACATTACCAGCACCATTACCCTTACCAAACTGACATATATGTAAAATGTCTGCAAGTATCTGTCATATATCTGTTGCAGTACTGCAGCATATCTGCAACAAGATCTACAATATCTGCAAAATATCTGCATAAAAGTTGCAGATATTTTGCAGATATGTTGATTATCTGTCAACATATCTGCAAAATATCTGCATAAAAGTTGCAGATATTTTGCAGATATGTTGATTATCTGTCAACATATCTGCAAAATATCTGCATAAAAGTTGCAGATATTTGCAGATATGTCAATTGTCTGTCAAAATTTCTGCAAAATATCTGCATAAAAATCGCAGATATATGTAGATATGCCAATTGTCTGTCAATATACAGGTATCTCAACTACACAGTAAAAAATAATTTCTTATTGAGAAAACAATTCTTACTGCAAGAAAATATTTGTTGAAGAACATTTTTTGAAATAAGAAAAATTCTCTTAACATATCTTAAATTACATTTGTTTTCTTGAAATATGAATGTTTTAAAACAAGAAATCAAATTCTTATTAACATAAGAAATAATGGTTAATAATAAATTATTTCTTACTTATTTTCTCGAAGAACGAAAATAAATTTGTTAAAATTTAAATATAACATCTTTTGCAATTTTTGCATTTTTTTTTCCAAAATGATATATTTTTCCTCAATATTCTTTTAAAAAAAAAGATGTGAAATGTCATCCTGGATTTAGATTCTATATGGGTTAGTATATTCACTTTAACTGTAATTAGCCTTTTCTCAAAAGAGATCACAGTGCATATTCTGGGGTGATTTGGAGGGACAAAATATATGGAGACAGGCATCAAATATGTGAAAGAGTAGAAGTATCTACTATCAAATATCAACTTTTTACATGACCAAAAATGAAATATCTCCTTTTTACATTAAATTTTAATTTAAACGTGTGCTGCCATATTACTTGTCCCTTCAACAAAGAATTTGTGCGACTAGACCCAGGACTTTGGGAATAGCTAATTAAATATACAAATTCTCTTCTATCATATTTATCTTTGTTAATTAATTTGTTATTAAAGTAAATTTGGGACAAAAATATTGGGTTTTATTTTGTATTAAAATGCTACATTTGCCCCTTTAGCAAAGGAGACCTTGCCCCCACCCCCTTTCCATCATCCCTGATACCATATAACTACATTCTAATTTAATTTC